CTTCCTGACTCCAGAAGGGCACAGAGTAGCTTTCAAGTGAGTCTTTGGAGCCTGAATTGTGGAAGAAACAGGAAAGGAATTTAATTTTTTTTTTTTTTTTTTTTTTGTAGTTGAAGAAATGAGAGAGCTCAAAGGTTCTGTGGCATCTGGTTGGAGATATGGGGAAGGACTGAACATTCAGCAAAAACACCAAAACCATTGAAAATGAGATCGTGACAAGACAAGTGGAGGAGAGGAAGTCATCCCAATAAATGAAGCAGAAGTAGAGTGCGCTGTGGCTGTGACTACACTGGCATTTTCCTTTATGTCCGTCACCTTTCCACTAGCACAGGGGCAGCTCCCCTGGTGGGAGGAATAGTAGGAGCACTAGAAGAATGGGTGCTGACATTTTAACTAGTATCGCCTAACTTTGCTCAGGTCAGGTTTAGGCAACGTAGTGGTTGAAGCACAGGCGGCCTATTCACACTTGCATTCCTACAACTATAGATGCCCCATGCTTTTAGTGCTGGGTTCATTTCTCCATAATGACCAATGATAGCAGACTTTACCTAGACAAGGCCTGTAGGGAATTAAAAGTGTCACTGATTCAGGATCTGGGATTTGCTATTTTCAATCCCAGACCAGGGATTTTAAAAAGTGACATAGCCAAACCAAGGGACCAGTGAGAGCTTTTGAGACTAGTGTCTGGCGAATCACCAACCCTAGAAAATGTTTGATATCTAACAAGTGGGATACCATCTAAGAGCTGGGATTCAGAGCATATAAAGTATCTGCTTCTAGCCCTGGCAGATGAGAGGATACTGAACCTCAGCAATTACCTCATTCTGATTACCAACCTGTTTTTTTGTTTTGTTTTTGCCACTTGAATGTAAACACTATTTTCGTGTCTTGAGAACCACTAACAAGAAACCAACCCTGTAAGCAAGCTGAAAGCTGAGAACTTGTGCAAAGAGGGAGCAAAGTCAGCTCGGAACAGCTGGCCTCCAAAGATGCAGAAAAAATCAGGAGCAGAAGTGTGCCAGAGATGGAGAGCTGCAGACGGGAGGGAGATGAAGCTTAAAACAAACCAAGTTACCGTCTGATCTAAGCCATTTGGATTTGATAAATGGAGTGTCACCAGGTTATCCAGAAAATCCAAATTCAGTGTAGGGAAGTGATGGCCTTTATCCAGCTGTTTACACCATCTCCATCACTATAATATCTGAGCACTTGCATCCACCCACTGAAGCACTAAGTAATTCTCTGCAACATGTGCTCTGAGTTACATTACCTGAACTTACCAGAACTTCAGTCTCTTGGGTAGAAACAAGCAGACATCGCTTAGTGCTTCAGCAGTTCTTCCCAATTAAAACTCATATGCTAGTTTAAGCATTACTGCAAACGTGGCTTGGATCACCAGTACAATATCTCCTTTTAGAAGCGCACCACAAACCATCAGTGGAAAGCCTTGTAACACAACTGCACAAAAATAAAATTGGGCTGCAGCTTTAATGTTGTCCAGAGCCTGGACAAAGCCAAGCAATATCAGCTACACAAAGAGGAGGAGATGGGACAGTGGGTTAGTTCAATTTCCCTCTGCTGCACGACTAGCTGCAAATTCTGCGCAAGGCCCTAAGTGGACATGAGTTGGAGGCCGTGCTCCTAGTCCAAGGAAATTTGTCCACAAAGGAGAAAATGTAATTTAACTCAGTGTGGGCTGATTGACAGGGTCCATCAACAAACCTAGTTTTGGAATAGTAGGAGATGCTGCAGGATAGTAGAGATGCATAATGAAGCACTTCTAGTGCTTACCTAGTCTATAAGGGTTGCCACCAGTCTCAGCCTCACCCCATCTCTCCACATCCTGCAAGACTTCAGAACAGAGTGCAATCCCAATATTTCATTCAGGTAGGACGATGCATGAGAACGCATCTTGCTTGACAACTTTAAAAGCTGGAGGCCACCTGCACGCTGCTTAGTTCTTTGTTCTTGTGCAACTCACTGTTCAGTGAGTTACTCGTCCCCCCCGTGAGCACAGGCCCCAGGGGATATTACTCTGCCACAGCAGCTCCCCGATAGGGAATTCAGTTCAAGCTGCAGAGGCTCATGTGTACAGTTCTGGAGGCCCCAGGTTCAATTCCGGTAACACGGCTTGTTCTTTCACTTCCTCACTATGTGGTGTGTTCAGCCACAACACAAATGACAGGATTGAGAAATTCGTTTCCTTTTCCTTGAGTCAACCAGGAGACCTATGACCATCTGTCTGGCCTGAGGCACCCTAGTTCCCACCAGCTCCAATAAAAAGCACAAGCCCTGGGGAGAGCCGAAGGGACTGCAATCATCAGCTTGTTCCCGGTTTTTTTAAATCCACTTTAAGGTGCCTGATATTTTATTAGAACTGAATGTTCAGTTTCTGACCTGTCTGATTCCACAGAAGATTCCTCAGAGCTTCTGCTATGAGTTAGATTCTGCTCACTGATAGAGGGGTGTCCGATCACTCTCTCAGCCCCCAAGAACCAGTCCTGGCTATTATGCAACTCATTTCAGGAACACCACTCAGTAAGTTGTAACAGCACGCTAGGGACTTGATGTTCTTTTGGACTCACCCATGTCCAATGTGCCAATGCCAGAACACCAGCCTAATTTACACAGATATCAACGGGTCCTGTAATTGAAGTGCAGCACTGGAAAGGATCTTTGTGTGCTGTGTAGGCTGGATTGGATTTGTCAAGTGACAGAAAGGTCACTTCTGCTTTCCTACAAGCCGGGGAGTTTAACAGCTAGGGATAAACCTTGTGATAAGAAGTCATTACAAAGGTGGCAGTTGTGTCATGGTAAGAAATGGGAAAGTCACAATTTTAATTTAAGAGAAACTGTGGCACATACTGTACTACTGAGACATTTGCAATGGGAAATTAGAAGAGAGTTACCACCACACTTTACAGGTGTTTTATGCTATTAAAATTTAATTAACCGTTTCAAATTCTTGCAAATCCAGATTCTGCTACACTGGCCATCTCAGAGGCTCAAAACTGGGATCTGAGCTCTCTCTGCAGAGGGCCCATCGGATGCAGAAAATCTTCTGTAAGAGATTAGAATGACCATGGATCTCATTGCTTTCAGAACAGAGTGCAAGACTGCCCTTCCCCATAACTTTCTCACAGTACGAATATGTAAACATAAAACATGATTATGCACCACTCTTCCCGCAGGGACAACAATCAACTTTCACATAAGCCACTCCAGTACTAAGGGGGATGAGTGCAGGACAGATACAAAGTCCCAGTGGGGCAGGCAGAAAAACAGTTACACACACACCATCAAACAGTGGAATTTTCACAGCAAGCTAGTTTCCAATTTCATGCTAGAGTTAAGATCTTTCAGGAGCTCAGCTTTTTCATGAGGGACCTGATGGTCCCTGCAACTTGCACCCCTTAGATGGGAAGTATTAACGACTACTATGTTAGCCACCTTGCAAGCTGGTGGGTTACACTAATTGGGATTTGCCCCAAGCCCTTGTTAAGCCAAGTGTCATGAGGAGGTAAGGGGATGAGATCAGATCAAAGCAATCTGCCCCTCAGCTCACAACTGAAAACCAACCCAGAACTCTTTAAACAAATAAAATGTGGGGGTAATTCCACTGATTTCCAAGGCCCTAGGTACTATGAGGACACATGAGATCCAAATTATGCAGTAGGGACCCCAAATAGTGCACCAAGCCCTTTCTCCTTCACCCCCCCCCCATCTAATCCAATCAGGGCTCTGTGTGTAACTGGTGTATTCCAATATTAATTTTTTTGTATGCTTCTCCCGATGTTCAACATTCCTTATGCTGCAGATCAATGTATCTATGCTGTATAAGGTGGGGAAGGGGGGGAAGCAAGAACTGTTTGGACATGGAGCAGTTGGGGTTTTTGACACTCATGAAGATATGGAAGCTGATTTTGGTGTCCAAGAGGGATCTGATGGTTTTAGAGCTGGGGATGGGATCTATCCCCTCTTTCTCTCTCTCTCTTTCAAGCAGCAGCCAGCAGAGGAACTAAAACTGGAAGGAGGGAGTTTGAATTCCTTGTTCCCCACCCCAGCAACTTGCTGCTTCACTGCGTACCTCCCCTGACATCTGCCCTTATATGCAAAATTGACACGCACATACAGTAGCTGGATGTTTATGCAACAGTGATCAGCCATGTGAAATAGTTCATGCTAGCACTCAAACTGGCATCATGTTTCAGAATTAAACCCCCCACTGGAATGAACTGGGCAGCTCACACTTCTTCAGAGCTGCAGACTCAGGCAAACATCACAGCATTGGTTTAGTATCTTCCCAACCATAAAGGCCAAGGATTACTACTTTTGCTCAAATGAAAGCTAAGCATCTGAAGCACAGTTATGTGGCAATTTAAAAATAATCCACAATTTTGCAGCAATGTAAGTCACAATCACATTACGCACAAGGCTCTGCTTACCTCATATTACTGGAATATTTCTCTGTGCTTATTCATTTCTCTGTGCCTTTTGGTTTTAGCCAAGCGCAGAAGTCTTGCAAGAGACTGTTCTCACTGTATCAATCAGGTCTGTGTTAGAAAGCTTTGGTATTGTGAGATTTCCAGTTTAAAGTGAATATGTAAAGAAAGGGAACCTCACTACTACAGTTCACCCTGTTCTAGTATTTAGGTCAGGCAGTAAGGAACACGGCAGAGCATTCCATCCAACTTTACCTTGCCTCAAGAGCCCTTTCCTTATTGTGGAAGAGATAATGCACTGGTTAAATCCAGCAGCCACGAGTTTGAAACTATTTTTGACTGGGATCAGATTTAATGGAATCAGAAGGTCAACGATTGCAAAGTCAAGAGTAAAATTAAATATAGGGAACAAGCCCAGAGCAGTTCATCTGTACGAAGTGTGGGACTGTTTGATCTCTTTAGAAAACCTGATAACTTCAAGGACAAAACATATGTTAAACAACAGGAGTGGAGCAGCCTCTTAACAATAACTGACCCTGTATTTAATACTGCTCATGCCAGATCCAGGGTGACTGCTAAATTAGACGTCTGTTCCACAGCTAGAGTTTGATGTCTGCACATTCTTGCAGGCAAGGAATGGACAAGATTTAAGGCTTAGCCACCTCTAGCTGTTGGTTAGTAAATGGACAGAATTACAGCCTAACAAGGCTAAAGCAAAAAGGGACAGATATGCTTGTCTTGAAATTGGATTGGACGCTTCAGATTCAAACCCTACCCCCTTCTTCCCCCCCACTCCCCATGGTTCTGGGATGTGGAGTGGGAGTTTTGGTTCGGGACACATATCTAGCACTCAGAAAACATAGGGCGCACCTCCCCCCCCCAGATCTGCCTATGTTTTTTTCCACTTGGCAAATGTACATTGCAAGGACAAAGGTCATGTCAATGGACAGGTCCCAAGAGACCACGTTCCTGGATTTGTTTTCAACTCTGTATTCTGGCAGGTTGTATTTGCACTGGAACCAGCCAGGGCTCAAAACACAATTCCAGCCTAGGCGACTCCCTCACTATTGCCAAATACAAGCCCTGGCTGCTATTAGTTGAGAACTAGTCTCTAGATGGAGGAGCAGTTGGAATCCTTGGCCAGAGATAATGCTACAAAAGACTCCACCGACTCCTGAGGTGCCTACAATCTCAGTCCTGCTGCCTGTACCAGGGTGCTCCTCATACTCTTGTTCCAGCAGGACCAGAAGACAAGAGTCCCTGGTTAGACAAGCCGGGGGTGTTCATGCTTCTGGAGGCGCACAGGGACAATCGAAGCAGCAGCTAGTTTCCTTAGCTAGGTCATGTCAGCATGTGATTTTGTAACCAACAGCGGCTTTCCTCAAATCAGCAGAATCACTTCCGGGCCCCATCAATGTGATAGAGCAGGGGTTCTCAAACGTCATTGCACCGCGATCCCCTTCTGACAACAAAAATTACACACACACCCCCAGGAGCGGGGAACGAAGCCTGAGCCCGCCCGAGCCCTGCCGCCCCAGATATGTGGGGGTGGGAGGGCGGCAAGGGCAAAGCCAAAGCCGGAGCCCCACCAGGCTTGTAACCTGAGCCCCACCGCCCAGGGCTGAAGCCCTGGGGTCCCAACCCACTTTGGGATCCCAACCCCCAGTTTGAGAATTGCTGTGATAGATGTTCTGGAAAAACACTAATAAAATACAGATTCAGCCAAACCAGCCCCATGGGACAGTGTGTGCAGGGAGAGGACTTCCCCCTTTCTCCCTCCCTGCCAGGGTTATTTTCAAATTTAGAAAGATAAAGAACAAATAAAAATAGGCAAGAATTAAAGTGACCAGTGGCAAGGAAAAAGCCAGGCCCATCTATATTAGCCAACTGCAGGATCAGGGTCTAAACCTCATATCCTAGATTTGGTATGAAATCAGCCATTTTTTGCATTATTTTTAAAGTTACTCTAGATACTTCAGTGCATACTGAGTTTATTTCATTGTTCCTCTTTGCCGCCGTTTTAACCCTTTGTCACTTTCCTAGGAAGATGAACCCTCCAGCCCCTTTTCACCTTAGGGTTGTCAACTTTTTAATAGCACAAAACCAAACACTCTTGCGCCACCCCCAGTCTCACCCCTTTCCTGAGGCCATGCCTCTGCCCCACCCCTTCTTCAAGGCCCCACCCCCTGCTCACTCCATCCCCCTCCCTCCATCGCTCTCTCCCCCACTCTCACTCGGCTGGGGCTGGGGGTTGGGATGCAGGACGGGGTGAGGACTCTAGCTGAGGGTGCTGACTCCAGCGTGGGCCAGAAATGAGGGGTTCAGGGTATGGGAGTGGGCTCTGGGTTGGGGAAGGAGGTTGGAGTGTGGGAGGGGGTGAGGACTCTGTCCGGGGGTGTGGGCTCTGGGGTGGGGCTGAGGATGAGGGGTTTGGGGTGCAGGAGGGGGCTCCAGGCTGGGAGTTGGGTTGCGGGTTCTAGCCAGGCAGCACTTACCTTGGGTGGCTCCCGGAAGCGACTGGCATGTCCCTCCGGCTTCTAGGCTCAGAGGGCAGCCAGGTGGCTGGGTGTGCTGCTCCTGCCTGCAGGCACCACCCCCACAGCTCCCACTGGCCGTGGTTCCCAGTCAGTGGGAGCTGTGGAGCCAGCACTCGGGGTGGGGGCAGCGTGGGGAGACCTGCTGGCCACCCCTGCGGCTAGGAGCCGGACATGCTGGCTGCTTCCGGGAGCCACACGGAGCCAGGGCAGATAGGGAGCCTGCCTTAGCCCAGCTGTGCTGCCGACCAGACTTTTAGTAACCTATTAAAATCTCCCGGATTGCTTTCAGTCGTCACTGGAAGATCAATGCCGATTCCGGTAGACTCCCAGCCAATCCGGGGGAGTTGGCAACCCTACTTCACCAACCCCTCGAAGCACATTGAGGGCTAAGGCCTTCGAACTAGCTTCTCCTCTCAGCTCTCACCACAGGCACCTTCCACCATGCCCACCCCCAAGGCTTTTGGTTGCAGCAGGGCTGTGATGTCACTGTGTGCCTGCTCGGAGCCCACCCCATGGGCAGGGGAGAAAGGGGCTTCCTGCCCCACACATCACAAAATGTGCCCTGTCCCATCTTCAGCAGGGACCGGGCTATGAGCCTTGCAGGAGGCAGATTCAGTGGACACAATAGGGTGAGCCCATTCGATCTGCTGGTCGAACTGCTGCATTAATTCTTACGCCTCCGTGCTCACCGGCACAGCAACATACCTCATGAAAATCTGGCCCTGAGCCCAGGGCTTAATTTGTAATGAAAGAGGTGCCAGGGCTCAAGCATTTTTTACTTTCATAACTGATGCAGCAGGCCCAGAGGTGCCGGGGCTAGGAACTGCCAAGCCCAGAGGTGCCGGGGCTCTGAACGGGCACAAAGTAAGCCCTGCCCAAGCTTCATGGGCAAGTGCTCAGCACCTGGCAGCTCCCATTGTGACACCTACGGCCTGATTTGTCAAGAGCGCTCACATGTACCCAATATGCTGAGTCTTAGGAAAAATCCAGCCACTTCTTTAGGGAGAGAGAAAAACAGGCTCTTTTGAAACTCGAATCCTAATTGTGGGTGCCGAGTCCTTCTGAAAACACAGGCCTGTTTTTACAGCAACCACCAGCAAAAACCTCTAGCTAGTGCAGGAGGCAGCAGCAGCCGCCTCCTTCCCAGGCTGAGCAGCCAGGACAGCCCTACACCTGCCTTGCACTCTTCCCTGGCTATGCCTGAAGTGCAGCATGATTTTTAGACTGGCCCGATTCACTTTGGAGACCACAAGAACATTTTTCTGGGCCGCCTCCTGACCAGCACCTGGGTTCTGAGTAGAGGAGTGGCAGAGCCCCAAAACCCCTATCAGATAGCACTGGTGTGTTACCAGCTGAACCAGCCACTCAGGGTATGTCTACACTGCAATTAAAAACCTGGAGTTGGCCCATGCCAGCTGATGCCGGCTAAGGGGCTGTTTAATTGCAGTGTAGATGTTCAGGCTCAGGCTGCAGCTTGAGCTCTGGGACCCTCCCACTGCACAGAGCCCTGGGGGTGGGTGGATGGGGTCACAAGGTTATTTTAGGGGGAGGGATCACAGTATTGTCACCCCTTGTCTGCCTTCAGAGATGGGCAGCTAGAGAGCAGCGGCTGTTGGCTGGGCGCCCAGGTCTGAAGGCAGCGCCCCGCCAGCAGCAGTTTTGAAGTGTCAGGACCCCTACAATGACAACACCGTTAAATTTCAGATTTAAATCACTAAAACCATGAAATTTACTATTTTTAAAATCCTATGACCATGACATTGACCGAAATGGACTGTGAATTTGGTGGGCCCTACTCATAATTTACCAAGGCTGCCAGTTCACAGGGACAACAGTGAAACCAGACAGCCCCTTCTGCTAGTCTCTTGTGCTGACCCACTCACTGGGAGTCCCGAGCAGGTCTGGGCTCTCCTTGCACCACTGCCTCACTACAAACATCACAGAATGGAGCGGGTTGGGTGCCTGCAAAGACACTTCAAAATCCTAGAACCAGCCCTGAGAGCGATGCCTCTGCTCCGGAGGATGAAAGTTAGTACAGCCGAGCCAGGCTGGCCCAGCCGCTTAACTGTGCTCTTGTATCTCCTAGGGATCCAGGGGCTTCCATTTCCCCAGCCTGGTAACTTAGCTGCAGGAGCAGGTTATCCCAGGTAGCCCTGCTTGGCATGACAGACAGACTTAGGAGCCCCATCATACCGTGCAGTGTAACAGAAGTGCCCCATGGAGCAATCCCAGTAACTGGGAGGAGAACCTGATGGGGTTCTATAGGAGGATCACAAACATTGTCAGGCGTGTCAGTCGGTGGCGTTGGCTAAGAGGAAATATATGAATTCATAGACGGTTACACAGAAAGATCACATGTGCCAGCTAGGGCTCCCCGCACTTTGCACCTTCACTCCCCCGCCCCCAATAATGGCCGCTTGGGAGGTGTAACCCAGAGCTCAGATTGGGTGAACGTGGGTTTGTTCTGCAGCATCCGGGGCTATCGGAGGGGTTTTTGGAATCGCTGCACAGTCTGGAAGTCACTGCTTGAGCCGTCAGCTGTGTAAGTCTGTGGCTCTCAACCTATCCAGACTACTGTGCCCCTTTCAGGAGCCTGATTTGTCTTGCACACCCCCAAATTTCACCTCATTTCAGAACTATTTACTTACAAAATCAGATATAAAAATACAAGTGTCACATCACACTATTACTGAAAAAAAACTGCTGACTTTATAATTTTTACCATACAATTATAAAATAAATCAATTGGAATATAAATATTGTACTTCC